CTTCTGTTTGTAGGTATTTAGGAACGAAGGCGAAAGAAAGATGGCGGCGCCCGCACTATCGATAGTATCGTGTGGAGGAATCTATAATTCTAAAATGAGCTTTTAGAGATAAAAGAAAGGTCCCAATTGTAAAATTTAACCATTAAATGGATTATTTGTTGAAAGAACATTCAAAGCAGCCACGAAAACAATTAGAATACTCGCTCGGAGTTTTTTTTTTTTTTTTCTTACTCTTTTCGTCCTGTGGGCACTAAAAGGGCCTCTTAAAGCAGGCCCATTATGGGTTCAGCCAGGCCCACAATGGGGCGGCCGGGTGGTAAGGGACGGGGCCCGACATATCCGAACGGACCACCCCAAAAAATTCCTGGGGATTCTTTAACCTGTCCGGATTCGATTCCAGGTCTCCCAGAGCGGTAGATTGCCACCTTAGCCGCTCGGCCATCTGGCCGTCTAGCTCGCGTGGAGTTACGCAAAGGTATAAAAGAACGCACCCTTTATTACATTTCATGTTGTACGAGAGTTTTACCCAATTCCCAAACCGTGTTAGAGTGAATCCGTGCTATAGAAGTGCTATGTTATACGGGGGTTATCTGTATTTAGAGCATCAACACGAAAGTATAACATATAAGCGATAGGATAGTTTGGTGTATTTCGAAAACGCAAACTGAATTTACTGTAGAAGGAAAAATGTGCTATGAATTTTCAATTCCGTGTTACGCAACAAAAAAACATTGAAATTTTTGACCCAGATCAGCAGAAATATCCACAAGAAAAATAGAAACGATACCGTGAGAGAAATAATCAACATAATATAGACCATAATTCGTATCGTTGAAGAGGGGATAATCGGATAATTAGTTGTAGGGGTATGTAGAAAAATTTTGAATACTGTGGCACAGAAAACAATGAAAAAGAGAAGACAGTGGAACACGTAGATGAAAAGAGTGGGAGCAGCCAAGGAATAAGAATAGCAACAGGAAGAGGAAAAGCAGGGAAAGGAGAGGAAAGAGCGTGCTTTTATGTCATTACATCATATATATACAATAAACATTTAACACCTGAACAGTTTTCATTACTAAAATAAATTATTGTTGAAAAGTTAACTTATTTGCGTAAGTCGAATACAGACAATCGAAATTATACTTCGATTTCAATTTTATAATGAAATGCAGTTTGTACATAGCCTATCCAAATTAATTTTTGAGTATAAAATTAAGAGTTTGTAAAAATAGAAGAGCTCGTTCAAATATGACGTCCACACTAGGAGAGGAAGATACGTAAAAATTTTATGACAGATTATGGTAGATAAGAGAAATGCAATAAAATTATTCATTCGTAACAAATGTCTTTGAGGCCTCCATAAATGCGAGGCTTCCCGAGTCTCTCCTGTAATACATAGAGCCTAGCATAATTCATATTAATTTATTAAATTTGATTGAAAAATACATTAATTACTAATTTTCGACCATACAAATGTGATTGTCATTCATATAAAAATTAATCAATTAAGTAACGTAAAATTTTATTTTACGTTACCTAATTAATTATTCAATACATTTTTTAGAATGAATAATGTAAATTTAATAATTGGCACATTTATCATAACATTAGAGTGAATGTAATTATGATTTATTATTAATTAAAATTAATAAAAGACAATTACCTCACAATACTTTCTAAGGTTATTGTGACTTGGATTTAGTTTACTTTATTGTATGAACGACTTCTTACCACATCGCCTATTGGCTGTTGCTTAATTAAGGCAAAATAGTAAAGTAACATTATCCACAACGCGGTGTTAAATTATTTCTTCATTACTATCTAAATAAAATGCGTTAAAGATATTCAGTAATATCCATTGTCTGATGCTTCACTATTATATTTTATGACAATAGCAAGATTGAGGCCGAAGTTTTAAATGCGAAAAAGTGTACGTCGGACGTTCAGCGCCGCTTTCCTGTAAGCCTAGAAGTTTGACAATGGTGTTGTACGTAGGAGTTGCCATGGGGCAGATCGCACTTGTGTTGCTTCTTTGACATATTGCACTTGTCCATCGCTCGTACAAACTCCCGTGAGGACGTTGCATAAACGATCCGCCCAAGACTTTTCTTAACCTTTGGAAATTAGGATTTACAAAACTTTTATTTTAAGATGTTAAAAATAAAGAATTAATTATGCAATAATATGAAAAATAACTCCATTATTGTGTTATAAGTAATACAATACCTCCAGAAATCAAAGTTGAAATATTACTCTCTATTTTATACTTTTTACCCGCTGTGATTTTAACATATTATACAATTTTACAATCTATTTTACTGTTAATAATCACTGACAATAGTGTACTTGAGAATAAATTAAAAACGTGAACTGTCAAAACATCAATAAAAATTTAATTTTACATGTATTATGTAACACTAAAAGCTCTTAAAAGCGTATATAATAATAGTTATTTTAAATAAATCAGATTGGAGATGTTGTCTTTAAGTTATTCTCTATTGTCAGAGATGCCTTCCTTGTTACTTGCTTAAGTGGATGTGCTCAATTAGGCACGAAACACTTTCTCCGCGTATTTAAGTCACGTTTGGAGATGTGTGTTTTAGATTGAAGGCATTTTGAGACAAACCGCTTGATATATCTCACTTGTATGCATGGGCGTACTCAGAAAATTTTCAAAGGGGAAAAAGCGTTGAGACAAATAATTACATCTATAAATTTTTATATAATATTTAAGAGTTTCTTCACAAGTAGATTATAGAATACTGCAGTGGATTCCCAAAGTGGACGTTCCCCTCCTAGAGTTGGTAAGTAAATCTACGGCGAAAAGAAGCAAAGGGGCGACAGGTAGCACGGATGGCAGAACCGAATGGTGACAATAGGCGAAAGTGTAGGTCACTGACAACTTTCCCTTTCCTCCGTTAAAACGGGTAAGAATAAACATTTAATGGTTTCCAGATGTGGAGAACAATATAAGGTAAGGACACAAAGTGTGAGTTTCATAGAAAAGTTTTTCTAAAAATATTTCCACACCTCTCTCACAGAAGGGAAAATGGGTTAGGGGCGTTAAGTATAAGTTTATGGAACCAAAGGGACAGTGGCTCAAACAAGTTTGGGAATCGCTGGAATGCATACAGTATTGCATCAATGCATCCTATTGTCGAGGGTTTAAGGTTACATATCGTAATCACTTGTACGATTATAATTTATAGAATTTTTTCAATCGATCCTAGGGAAGGGCAAGTGTCCCGTTTCCCCCCTTTGCGTAGGCTTACTCCGATTCTTACGCCCTGCGTATATTCTATACCTAACATAACCATTAAATTAAATGGAAAGATTTATAAAACTTTTGTTGTAGCCTTAATTTTTTACATATTTTCTCTAACATTATATTGTAATTAAAATTATTTTGTTCGTTTTAAAATGTTAAATGCTAATCACATTCTCTTATAATATACTTTAATATAAATAAAATGAATTAATTAAAATATATGTATATATAATTTTTAAATTTTATTAAACAAAATTCTTATAAAGGAGTTAAAAATAAAATCCTAAATATAAAATTAAAACAGAAACATGTTAAACGGCGTGTTAAAATTGGCATGTTACTTATCACACTGCTCGTTACATTTCTTCATACGATTTGACATCCTCCAGTGCTTTTGAGGAAAAATACGATAGAGGACATTGTATTTTATAATTAAATTATCCTATTAGTTACGTTACAACGTTAATCGATAAAGCTAGAAGGGTAAATAGTTCTAAGACCGTACAAAGCTACCATTTTCTAATGGCGGCTCTGTACAAAGTCGTCAGACTGAGGTCGCCCATCTAAGATGAAATCACTAAACAAGCTTGAAATTTCCCCTAAAAAATGAAACAAATTCCCCTAAATAAATTTTCTCCAGGTGAATTGCATAACAAAAAAATATTAGTCTTTTAAAAATCCATAGAAGCACATATTTTTATTTCAAGAGGTCATGTGGGTACACACGAGCAAGAGCATCGTGTGAAGAAGCGGCCTGCTCCGATTCTCCCCGAGATTCTCACGCAAGAACAGTCGTGATTCGTGTGACGTTAGAAGCTACTACTCATTGCTGAAACTCCACTAACAAATGGGCAGACTTTATATTTTCCCTCTAAACTATTTCTACTCTTAAATTTAAGGGGAAACTAACTTGTAAGTTGGAATATGCTCCACACACTGTTTATTTATGGCTTCGAGCCTATAGTTTATAGCGCCATCTGCCAACGAAGACAACTTTACGTTCCACAACTCTTTTATGTCTACGGCAGTTGATTCGCCTGTATATTTTACACGTGACTTGAGACTAATTAATTATTAATTAAGTAATTTAATCAGAGATAAGCGATTGAATCGCCATCTAGTGTTAAATTTAATTATTAGAAATAAAGCGAAATTGACCTGACAAATTTCGGATTTTGACTGTATCGTACATTATTGTATTTAAATATACAGTATGACTCTCCTTTGTTATTTCTTTTGATTTATCCCGAGTCAATTTCACTCGAGTATTTTAAGCTTGGAAAGTATTTTAATTAATCGCTGTGCCTACGTTAGCGTTACATGTTTATATAGAAAGCGAAACGGCTATTTCTGTATATCCGGCCACGAAATGTACTTCGCCATTGTATCTGTTATAATTATCAACATCTGTGTTAAATATACCTTATACATTTTATAATTTGTTTAAAATATTAATGGTAGCGGATAAACAAGTCGTGGCGCTAAGTTAACGAACTTCCATCGCTTCTATTTCAGCAACAACAGCGCTCCTACTGACAGTTTTCTTCAACATCCGAATGCTCCGAAATTTATTATAAAAATTAATCATAAATTTACTTTCATCGTATTAAATATATTTTAGAATATTTGATTAATTTTCTATGTAAAATATAAAATATAATTTTTAATTGGATATAATCTAAAACTAATATGACGTAATTTTAAATTGTGCTATACTTGGGCGGAAGTTTGTACACGTTTTTCTTACGTCAAGGTTTTAGCCTTTTAACACTGGAGCAGTTTGTAAACAAATCGTTTTCAAATTTAAATATCTTAGACAATAGGATTTAAATATGCTAAAGAAATAACATTTAAGTGATATTTTTTGAATAATTTTTATTATAAAATGTGTGATGGAGCGAATAATGACGTGGTTATTGGAGAATTATACGGTTAGTACTTTAAATAATATAATTTTAACTGCAACATTCGTAACGTGTTTGCATGTGACGTGTTTTAGTATTACAGGTGAATAAAGTACTTTGTGTAAATACAGTAAGACCCCGCTTAACGCTGATTCGATATAACGCGGTCTGCTCGAAGCCTAAAAGGAAGCTCAGAATTTATGTTGATTCAAATTATCGCGGAATTTCATTGATTCATATATAATTCCCGAACACAAACCAATCAGCAAAAGGTGGAAATTCGTCGTAGCGCTGTACTTTTCTTAAATCTATGTTTGGTGCAATTTTGGAAAAAATATAACATCATGGATGCCATAGGAAATATCAACTTTGCTTGGCAAGAATTAACTGATAAATGCATGAATGAAGTGTGGAAGAAGTTATGGCTGAAGGTATCCAAGAATTCTCAACGAGTAGAGCCTATTACTTATCAATTAGGTTGACCAAATAGTCAACCTAATCAATACAGCAGGATTTTGAGGAGTTATTGCAAGTTTCTGGTGAGAGCCTTACCAACAATGATTTTCAAGAACTGGCAGAACAAGGAATTCATGTAGAATTGGAAAACACAGTGATTCTGAAAACAAAGAACCCAAAGAACTTGATACAGATTTCCTTAGTAAAAGTTTGGTAACAATAACCAAAACTGTTGATCAAATTGTAGCGAATGATCCAGATTTTGAAAGGAGTGCAAAACGAGATGTTTCGGATGCGATCTTCTGCTACTGACATTTGCTTAACGAAAGAAAAAAACTGATAATTAACGAAAGAAAAAATGATAATAAGAATAAAAACTGACACTACACGACTATATCGCAAAAAACAAGAATTTCAGAAAAGCCATGACCTTTGTCGCAAAAAAGTAAACATTATATTTCTGTGTGCATATGTTCATGTGTTATTTAACATACATTATTAAACAAATTAATATAAAAATAACTTAAAATTAAAGTAAAATCTGTTTATGTTTGGTCACGTATTCCCCCTTTCTCTATTTACTCTATGTTAAAATGATCTAGTTTAACTCTTTGTCATCTAGGAATGCATCCCCATGTTAAGCAGGGTCTTACTGTATATGTAAAAATGCATCCTGAATGAGGTGGTTTTGACTACATCAGTGCTGTAGATCGTGCCCGTAGGATTAAAAACATCAAAGGAACCAATGGTCTACATGTGACCCTTTGCAAGATGTAGTATATTGTACACAGCAGGGAACCCAACATGTCTTACATACATATACTCAATGGCTCACCCAGAGAGGACCAATGTGTCCTGTCACCCTTCAAAGTAAAAGGAAAACAAATACTAGAAAATTTTCCAAAAATCATTTCTTAAATAAAATTTATTTTTTATTTATACTGTGTTGTGTATTCTATTTTTATACTATTTATGAATTATCAGTCATATAAGGTGGAAATTTTATTGAATTTGCATTAAAAAGTTTTTATCCATTTAACTCCACTCCTCAAGATTAAATTTTGAGTGTACCACTGCATACATTATTTAAATATTTATGTGCAATGGTCTTTTACATAACTTTTAAACACATCTTCCTAAATTTATTTTGAAGCAAAAATTATGCAAAATTTTAAATATTTTTAAAATATTTTTTTTATATTTTCGAAGGTTTATCAACCCCTCTTAAACTTTCATTCACTCCTAAGAAGTCAATACTGACCCTATTGGAAAGCCATGGTATATATTATATACCATGTCATTCTGATACAGGGTGTATCAGAATGACCCCAAATTTTTAAAACGTCATTCTGATACAGGGTGTATCAGAATGACGTTTTAAAAATTTGGGGGATTGTAGAGGATGAAATTTTGAACGTTTTGATATAAGGAACCTATAGCCGGAAATTTGATAGAGTTTCTACAGCACTTTGCACGTTCTATGCGGTTGGTATGCTGAATGAAACAGCAGAATACGGTGTTTATGACAAGTTTTATTGACAAAACAGTAAAGTACAATCAAACTGTACATTGAATCAGTGGCTGCACTACTTTAGAGTAAATGTTGAATATGAAGACCACCAACTTCCTTACATAATGTGCAACGACAAACCATGTTTTGTCCGACTGTCTGTAAGATGCCACACTCCCCTCTGATGGTATTAAATGCTGTAAAGATGCGCTCCATAAGCTCATGAACTGTTCCTACAGGTGTTGCGTACACAAGGGACTTACGTTGACTAGTTGTGTGTTTACAGCACAGCGCCAGTGGATGCAAGGGGTGATCTGAAGGACGACAAGCACTAAGTACAGAATGTCCTGTACACAGGCTCGGTTAGACCACTGTAGTTGTGTGTTTACAGTCTTTCATCTGCAGCAATAACGTGACGTCAATGGAAGTAAGGGTAGCTACCAAAGTGAAAGGCAGTCAAGCACTTCCTATCATTGTAGACACTTTAGTTCAAATTTCCGGCTATAGGTTCCTTATATCAAAATGTTCAAAATTTCATCCTCTACAATCCCCCAAATTTTTAAAATGTCATTCTGATACACCCTGTATATGTCATTCTGATACACCCTGTACTATATACTAAATTGCTATATCTTGCAAAGGGTGGTATGTAGATTGTTGGTTCCTTTGACTTTTTTACTCTGATGGGCACAGTCTTCGACTATGATAAGGTCTCAACTGTCTCCTTTAGAAATTTGTTTCTACCATATTGTTTTTACGGCTTACAGGATGTAACTTTTGCCCCAAAACCAAGGCCCAAAGAGTGGGCTACTTAGAACCCAACTCTTGAATAAAAAATGTTATATTTTTAATTAAGCACATTATAGTTAACCAGCTTTTGCATATATTCATGCAAATATCATAATGGTAGATTTTAACTGTAAATTTTGTAAATGTGTTCTTTTTAAATTCCTCTTTTCCATAATAAATAACTGTGCACCTCAATTTTATTTATTTTGAATTTAATTTTTTATGGTTAAATGGCCATGCTAATATATGTACTTATATGACAGGAAATATAACTATAAAACCTGTTGGAGCATAAAAAAAACTGAAATTTGTAAACTGTTAGATAGTCGATATTTTAAATCTAACTTAACCTAATCTAGACAATCCATATCTCTGAATAAAAAATGAACAAATCAATAAATGAAGTAAAAAAATATTGTATGTCACGCGACCTATATTATTATATAATTAATATTGAAATCATCTGTAATAAATTGATAAAAAACAAAATATTTAACATTGATTTAATTACCATGATACCTGATACCATGTTGCTAATAGCTAAATGATTACTGTGCTTCTAAATCAGTGTCTTATTTCTGATTAATTTAAAAAAATGGAGCTGCTAGAGTCCATACTTAAGGCTAATATATTTAGAATATGATTTCAAACTTTGCTTTTGTTTACAGAGTGTGATGATTATTGTATATAAAACTTCCATAAATAAACATTACCCTAATTAATTAATTAACTTTTCAACACACAAGTATAAAACTAGGGTTTCTCATTTCCCGGTCTTTTGCTTGTCCCGGGATCCCGGGATAAAAGTGAACTGTTTCTTGGGATCCCGGGAAATCCCAGGATAGAATTAATTATTTTTAAGGTATACAAAATATCTTGAAATCAAATGATATAATTATTTTCCATTTTTTAAAGTAATTTTAAAGTTCTGTAACCTCCAAAATCATATTAATAATGCTGTGTAAGGTCTATAGGCCTATAATAAAAATTACCTTTAAATAACGTAGAAATTTTCACAAATAGAAAAAAATTAATTAAAGTTTGCTGGAAACTGCATACAACAACAAAAAAAAAAATGTTTTGAATTGAGTTAAAAATTAAAAAAATGAACTTCTAATTTAGAAGGTAATTTTCGTTTTTTAAATAAAATATAATACAAAATATTGCAAACTTTTATAAGATTTTAAAAAGCAAAGATGGTCAATACTCCGATAACTCACTCTAATTCTTATTTTAGTAATGAAAAGTCTTGCCACCGAGAATGCCCTTTCCGATTCAATTGATGTGATTGGAATAGTGTTTAATGCATTTAAGAGAAGACAGATATTATGTGTTTTTTCACCTGTAGCCTGGAAGATTTCGAGTTCGTTTTCGAGATTGTAGTACTTCTTTCGCTCTCTAGTATTCTTGATTTGTCTACCTTGGCTGCTTTAATAGCGGCATCAAGCTTAGAGCTCGATAATTCGGCAATTCATTTGGCTTTAATAATCAGGTTTATGAAGAAAAACTTCATACTTGCAGACTTTGTACTCGTTTGTATCCTTGCCCAATTTGCACAATCTGGCGTCAGGCATTTATTGAAGCTACTGGGCATGGTTAAAACTCAAGACAGCGTAAGCACAATTATTCCAGATATTACAGGTTCCGACAAGTAAAGAATTTTTATAGTCCTGCCACAAATAAGCTATATATTGATTATTGACCATTTGTGACATGCTATAACGAGCAAAAAATTAAAAAAAACTAATAGGTAGGTTTAAAATTAATAAATACAAATGTATTCTGACAGTGAATGAGTTAATTATGCTTTCTATTTGCAAAATTCCTCAACCTTAACACAAAATAAGAAAAAAAGTGAATTTTTAAGAAATTTGCGGGATTTCCTGGGTTAAAAAAACAACCGGGATCCCGGAATCCCGTTTGAGAAACCCTATATAAAACTGATAAAATAAATTAAACTTATTAATTAGTTCATGCATTTATTTGAATTGGTATTGAACAAGTGAAATAGCTAAATTGATGGAATGAAAGAAAATGAAACATATTTATTTATTTTTCTGATAATTATCTGCAAAATTAAATTTTTTTGTATAATTTCTCTAGAATACAGTGGAACCCCAGTTAACGAACTTAATCTGTTCTGCCACTCTGCGCTTGCTTGCTTCCTGATAAATTATTTTTCTGCGAAAACTTTGCTGAACTTTGGAGACATTATTAATATAAATATAATTTTTATGGACATTAAATAATAAATGGTTTTTAGTAGGTCCACTGCTTGTTTAAACTCAATGGTTTGTGCAATATCCGCTATTGGTCTAGATTTGACCAATCCTGTCGCAACACGAGTCGGCGATGACGTTTTACTGAATTATACGAGTCTCTTTTAGTGTGTTTATACAAATACGGTCGCAATTTTTTTGCTGTGATATAGGAATTTGAACTATATGAACTCGTTTTATAGGGGGGTCTACTGTATATGCAATTCTGTTGTGGCTATACACCATATTATTTTGTATGTATGAATTCTAGTTAAATAGTTTTAATAACTCTTTCCCTTTCTTAATCCTTTTTAACTTCCCTTGTTTATTGTTCTGACTTCTGGGAACAGGCTCTCCCCTTCCCACCCACTAGAGGGTCGGGTGGGACAATGCACTTTGAGGAAATTAGTGAGTAGAAATCGGAGTCTCTAACAGTCATTCTTTTGCTGGACTTGAAAAGGCATGTACATAGATCAGTAAGCTCGTGAGACTGAATTCGACGAGAGCAGAACTGAGAGCCGTGAATTGGAGATCTGGACAATAGAATCAGAGAGATCGTCAACGCTATTAAAGAAAAAGATATTCAACACATTAAAGAGAACCCAGAGCTACTCAGAAAAAGGGCACAAGCTGACATCGAAGTTCATCAAGTATTGGGTACCCCACTATCCTATTCATTCTTCTCATTTCCCTATCTCTAGATTTTCTATCTTTAGGATTAATTAGTTAAGGATCGCACATGTTTGATTATTATTGTCGGGTAAGTAGTTACCACGGAAGCGAGCTACTTGGTTTGTTGTTGCCATTAGGCAGTGAAAGAAATTGGTATTGTGAGAGACTGAAGGAATCCAAAAGAACTTTTCAGTATATAATCGTTTATCACGAGATTAAATTTGTTTTAATCGAATTTACGTGTTTGTGTATTCTTATCGCATTTCACACTTTTACACTGTGACAGATCTGTCACATACATTGTAACTGCCTCTCTGGAACCCTAAGATGGTCTAAGCACCTGGTAGCTCATCTGGTCTCACAAATTCTTGATGGGCAACAAAAAGTGGCCAAGAAAATTTGGAAAAGTGATGGAGACATTTTTGAGAAATTCTAGCTGTATGTAGCTGAGAATTATCTTTAGAGAATGGCTATTTACAGCCCTGTCATGAAAGGCAATGTGTAAAGATATTTGAATTGATATGTTTAAGGATACAGGATATCTTGAACATACTGATGCACTGTCAATGTTCTTTGCACAGCTACTAGCGATGACCAACTATCATACAAAGTGGCTCTCCCAGACCAGTACAACAGCAGCGAGTATATCGAATAGTAAAGGTAGGATTGAAGCACTTACCAGTGGCCTCTGCACTCTAACACATTGGTTGTCTATTACTGAGCAGAACCAGGATTTATTAGTAAAGACATTACACTGCCAGTTCATACATTTATTCTAACAGTATTTTTAATTATATCTTGTTGGACATTACATGTAACAATTCATAATAAATAAATGTCCATCCAAAGATGGGGGTTTATTCTGGAAATATTTAAATGAGAGAAATAAATAAGATTTATAAAAACAAAAACATTATTTTCTGATTTTAATTATTGAAAATTATTGTAAAAGTATCTAAAATTATATAGTAGTAAATAAATACATAGTAGTAAAAATACATAGATTAATTATAACATAGCTGTGTACAAATTAGTTCTATTCTATATTTTTACTCAAACATTTTTAAATTGCACAGGTTTACGTCAAATTTAAAATAACAAATCAACTCGCTTTAAAGTGATTTTCTATCAGAATGAACCTATCCAAATTAATTAAAATGTCTATGTTTAACATAGAACATTTTCTCACTTTAAAATAAAATATTTTAATAATTTTGTTAAATGAGTTTGATCATAATAATGTTGTAAATTGTCTTTGTGAAATATGAAATGTGTAACCATTAGCCCATGAAGACAAACACACAAAAAATATTATAAACAAAAGTTTAATTACAAATTGAATTTTTTTTTATAGTGGGTACATTAACATATGCCAACTGTAGAATAATCTTCCAGCAGTTATTCAAGAAACTTGCTGTCAGCAGAAGCAACTACAATTTTCATATGCCACAAAATGTGTGAAATTGAGATATTAATAACTTTTACAATAAACAAAGAAAAACAAACATTACAAAAATAAATCCTTATAACTAAACTCACTAGTAATAGAGTTAAGAAATTAAAATAGAGGGCAAGAAGTATTCAAGTTGGAAGATAGACAAGAACAAAAGTACCTGGATCCTGTAGATTTCTTATGCTACTTCTTGTCTTGATAGTCCGAGAGGAAATTCCTATATTGTGAAACACTCTCTACTCTCCTTGGTCCACTGATTGATTCTTATCACCAAACCTTTGGTTCTTTAGTCAGAACTTGCAACAGGTCAAGTTGGATACAGTACCCATGCACACTACCAGATAATTGAGAAAGGGAATTCTTTGCTCACTCAGAACTTGACTCAAGGGATAATACTTCAATTAGTAATTAACAGTCTTTATCATAACTTCATTTCAGAATTTTTCATTATCCTCTCTTATAGTTTGGAGTTTACCCACAGCTGCATGCTCCTTCCTTTAGTTTTTCCTCTCCTCCTGTACACCAGCCACAAACTAACCCTTTCAAACATTTGGAATATTTACAAAGTTTCTTTAATATTATAACAAATTTCAAATTCTGTAAATAATAAAATTGAAGTAAAAATATATTTTTAGATTTAATTAAAGATATTAAAGATCCAGAAAAGCCACAGACTTTGGAAGATTTGGATGTTGTCTATGAGAAGGGGATCAGCATAATCAAATATGGCTTTACCGAGGTGATAAGGATAGAATTTAAACCAACTGTGCCACACTGTTCCTTGGCTACTCTGATTGGTATGTATCTTTTAATGGTAAAACTTTAAAAAAAGTACATTGTGTTCTATTTTATATAAATTTTGTTTAAATTAAAATGAAATATCAAATATTTAGAAGATTCTCTACAAAATTACTTTCTAAGGTTAATAGCACTGCTAAACCAAGGTTAAGAAAAATAATATTGAAATAGTATAAAGTAGTAGAACCATCTACCAGTAGTCTCCCCTGTCAGATGGCATCTGCATTCACTATGCAGTTTACAAAATTGCATCTCCCATATCAAACTGCACCAGAATTGAACAGCAAACTGTTATTTCATTTTTGATAGCCAAAAGCATTAGACTTACAAGTTAACACAATACAGTCGATCCCCCTATAAGATCATTGATTTTTCCGTTTTATCTGAATTACATGTTGTACGAGTCACTTAGATTTTACAAATACGTGTGCCGGGCTGTGAACGGCTCACATATTTGTAAAATCNTTAAAAATAGAATTATTTAGACAGAAAAAGAATAATCAGTATGATTGTTGTTGTTGTTTTCCATTAAATAGTTTTTGAATTCTTAAATCTGAAGAATTTTAAAACAACATAAAATCATCAGCCACAAATCCCACGTTATTTGCTTAGTATAAGCAATAATGGTATCTGGTTATTGAAATTTAACTACTTTCTTCTAAATCTTCTTACTTTTATCAAAAAATTTTTTGGGTTAGGTTTTGTAAGCTTTTAAAAATTCTCTGCAGAAGCTAAAATTTTTAATAAAAGAAAATTTGATTGGTAAACTGTATAGAGCATCTTTACATAAAATGTCATCATGGTGTTCCATCAGACAGTTAATAAGTTTTGTAGTGGTGGCTCATATGTAAAAAGCCTCAAACCTAACTGCAAATGCTGCAAGGGAGAGCAAGCATTGGTATTAAGACACTGCATGGACCAGAGAATTATATTTATATGAAAATCCTTATATATCCTGTAATAGACCAACCTTTGATCTCTCAGACCTTTGGGTGTTGCTTTCTTAAATATTGTTAGGGGCCAGTTTAAATTTAAAAATTATAAAAGAAAATTTTTGACCAAACATTTAAATACTTGTACATAAAAACTTTAAAACTGAATTGAAACTACTAAGAATAAACAGTAACCATACAAGCATGTTTGCATTGCTGTTACAATTTCTTAGATTAATCACACACCTGTTCGTTTTTTAATTAACACTTAGTGCTATAGAATGCATTTTGGCCTTCTTTGACTAGATTACATATTGCATTTTGAACTTTAGCAGGTAAGCCCGGTGTTGCCCAGGCAAAAATTAAGAACAAACATTCAGATTAACTAATTTCATACTTCTAACTTTTCTATTGCATTATATTATAGAATTTGGCTTATATAACTACAAAGGTTATCTTACAGAGCCAATCTTGCCCGTATTATTAACAGCAGTGCAAATATGCTATTTGGTTACTTATTACTCTTAGATTATATACAGAAAGATTATAATGCACAGAATTTAAACTACATAAATTATAATTACTTTATTACAAAGCAATTTAAAACTTAATGGTTGTCATCAAAAGAAAACCGTGTTTCTTGGAATAGAATAGAATGGAAACATTCCTTTTAAATTGTCACATTGCCAATGGAATGTTCTATATTTAAGAACTTTTTTAATATTATGAATTTGGTTGAGTTTGATGAAACAGTTGTACAATCTGATGAAGGTCTCTAAATGGGGCTGAAAACATTTGTATGTGTATTGAATCATATGCTGGAGTGAGTAGTGAGGTTTGTGGGGGCCGAGGGGGGAGAAATAAAAAAACTCGATTGAACGATAATATGCGATATGAATCGTCACCGTCTCCCTTGCCATTTGGATTGCCGAGCGGTAACAATCAACGACATGTGGAAGCAGTTGAGTCAGAGATAGATGCTTCGTTTACAAACAACACAACCGTTTATTAAACACGAAAGAAGCTTACAAGATTTCCGCGATCTTGGAAGTTCTGCGGCGGCTGCGGCCTCTGGGTCTTCCTCTCCTTTCCAAGATAGTCCCATTTTGAAGGAGTGTCCCTTGTTCGCGAATGAACCATTCCATCACGTCTCGACGACTCCGGGACGATGCGGTCGACTTCCGTTGATGGAAAGATGTCGATCCGAGGTCGGGAGATGGAGACGAAGATGGGTGCGAGACACACACACAACAACAGATCCGTCACTTGGAACTTTCGGGAGAAGAAGCCGTCGCGTCCTCGAATTTCCGGGGTTTTATCTGTTTTCTCTCAGATTCCCCTTTCCGATTGGTCTCCCGTCGTCACCTGATGACAATTCGAAACCTTTCGGGGGCGCGGGAGAGGTCAAAATCGAAGTTTAATTCAATCTCCAACCGGAAATGGTTGACGGACTTACATTCTTCTATTGTTTAAAAGTTAGCATCACGTTTTCATATCATAAAAATCTATTTCTAACTAATATATATTTTTTTTCTAAAACAATTATTTTAACGCAAATTTTAGTGAGGGTTCGGACCTGTCCAGAGCCTCACAGGTTTTATTTGAGGTATTCCAAATGTTAGAAAATAAAGTCTTCTCTCATTTTAAATTTGTGATAGTATTTTACGTACTCAAAATCAAAATATTTTATTTTAAAAACAGTTTTATTAAGAAAGATTTTGTTTGTTAGGACTGTGCATTAGAGTTAAACTTGAAAGATGTTGGAATCAAAAGTTTAAAGTAAGTGTTATAAATTAATTAATGAAAATTTTTGAGTTTAATTTTAAATTTTATCACATTTAATTCATTCTACTTTTATTATATTCAGTTAGAAATTGTTTTGAAAGAGGGAACACATTCTACTAGTGAAGAAAGTAAGTATTTATTGATCTCTTTATATATCAAATTAATACAATTCATTCTTATATTAATAAATTAATGTATTCAATTAATAAAATTATATTTAACTAAATATAATATAATGGTGGTATTTGAGTAGTTTAGATTAAATAAAGATTATTTTTTGGAAACATTAATGTGAATTTTGTTAAAGTAAATGTAGAAATTTGATTAATCTTTCTGAGATTTGTATTTGCATATGTAAGTTTGTATATGGTTTATCATATATATATATAGTTACAAATCTCTTATACTGTATCATGAATAAACCAAATTGGACTGTCCTTTCTGATATCTTATCCATGCTAGCCAATATTATTATGGATCTAGCTAACAATTATAAACATCCAAACCTTATAATTATACATTAAAGCCAAATGATTACCAAATTATATTGAGCTATATTATAGGCCTTAGGTACTGAGTTGTCTCTGATCAGCATCATAAGGAACCAAGTATGGTTACATCTAAATTAATAAGTTAGGAATTGAGGATTGGACAAATGTCCAGGTAGTGTAACTGGCAATGCAACAACATGGTAAGCAGGAGTTGCAGGTTCAAGTCCCACTTTGGACTGATTCTTTTCTTCCAAAATCTTCTAAATTAATTATTAAAATATTAATTTAATAATAATTATTAAATTTAGCAAGAGATGTCACCTAATGCCTGCCTTAAGTGCCAAATTACTTTTTCATTTAATTAATAATAGTAGTAGTAATATAGTCTGATATAATTCAGCAATCATTTAGCTTTGATCTAGCTAACTTGAACTGGGTAAAAATTGGATCCTTATAACTTATAGCATGCAGATGGCTTGATGGCCAAGGTGGTTAAGGCCTTTCACTTTGGGAGATCTGGGATCAAATCTGGATGGTTGAGAAATCCTAAGTAATACCCTAAACAGAGCAAAAATGATGGAATTGGGCTCAATGCATGGACCCCACCTCTAAGCAGAAAAATACTAAGAAAAACAAGCAATCTGAAACATCATCACAATGTTTTCTTGCAGATTCCTGGAACTAGATTTAGTAGTCACTTCATTTTTATTAATATCTTAATATGTGAAATAAATCAAATGATTAATATTGATATGAATATTAATCATTTGATTTATTTCACCTATTAATATCTTAATATGTGAAATAAATCAAATGATTAATATTGATATGAAATATTGATAATATACATTTTGTCATCTTGTATAAACAACTTTTAACTACAATTTTCAGTTAACAAACAAATTAATGACAAAGAACGAGTTACTGCCGCAATGGAAAATCCAAACCTCCAGCAATTGGTCGAGAAATGTATAAATACAGATGAATATTAATTGCAAGGCTAGTATGAATTTAAATTTAAATTTTTTACAAAAATCATTTTGGTTAATAAACAGAATTACCTAGTGTAATTTTAATATTTCTGAATTAGATATTAATATTACATTCATAAATTGATAATAATCAAAAAAATAATTATATTATTTATACATTATAAGTGTTGTTATAAATGATTGTCATTAGTCCAAAACTTCACTGGCAACACTTTTAATATAAACAAGACAAATGCAAAGTATATTACAGTAGCATGGACATGTTCCTTTTATGTAGAAACAAGAAGGCATTTCAAGTGCCTACATCCCATTAGAACTAATTAAATAATATCCAGTTAACATATACTGTATATATATATAAAGGTTAAAGTCATATGATAGCCAACATTTCAATAACCTCATGTGGCTATAAAAAATGACATAGAAACATTATTATCCTTTGAGTCCCAATAAATCACAGCACAACTTACATTTATTCAGGCTTAGTTCCTTCGTCATTACATTCACATTCATGTTGACTTTGTGTTCTAACTAAGTACAGTACTACAATGATGCATTAAGGCATGGGCAAAAAGGGCAATTGATGGGGCCCCAAACCAATCTTTTATAAATTCATTACTGTAGTAAGAATATCAAAATTTAAATTTGGTGCCATATCTGGAGACACTAGATTACGGATGCAGCACAAAAATTAACCTTTTGGAGCTTGTCTTAAAAAACTGAATGAGGCTATTGGGGGATTCCCTCAAAAGATTCCCAAAGAAAAATGTCTGAAGTCAACACTGTACATGGGGGTCTCAATTCAAATTTGCCTGGGTCCCATGAAAGTATAACAGGCCACTGTAATATTATTACATTTTACTGAATCTTTTGTAAAATGCAATCTAGTGTCAATGTGCTCAGTCTATAATTCCCTTTGCCATTTTCAGCACAAATAGCTTCATGATTATCTAAATGAATTAAAATGGGTTTTTCTTGTACTCATTGGGAAGAATCTCTACAAGAATATTTTTTAACTAAATTGCTTATTTGCAATCTTTAATTATCTAATCAACTATTGCCTGCAGCTACACCAGCTCATTAAGCAGTCACAAATCTTCTAATCTGAATACCAGTATTTTGAACAATCGCGTAATTTTTTTTTTTTTTTTTTGTACTTACTTAACCTTTATTGTCCGGTACTGCTTAACTATTCGTAAACACAAACGTTTTCGGCCTCAGTCAAGGTCTGCTTCGGGTTAAAAGAACAATCGAATTCCACTCTTAGAACGAACGTTTAGTTTTAAAATATATTCAAACTTATGCGCATGTTACATATCGTCATCGTTTTCTTGTTCTTTGCATACGTAGCGCCAAGCATAGGAAAGCACATTGCTGTCTTTTGTGTTTATACATCTCCTTGTCCAGGTTCATTAAGCAGTTTCCTAACTTAAAACAGAATCCAGAGTGGAATTTTCTATCTGATTTATAGCCGGTAAAATCTGCATTACAGTATCCTATCTGTTCTGGAGTGTTGTTTCTGTCTTCTGTAATTTTCTTTTCAATGTTCTTTTTAAATAAATATTTTAGTACTATTTTACAGCATCTGTGGCACTTATCAAAATTATTTATTACATTTACTTGGTTAGGAGATTGCATAAGAGATGTCAGGTAATGTCATGATTGATAGGATCCCTTGTGTACATAGAGTACCTATCACTTGCTGATATGGTAGCCTAGTGAGCAGTGGCATGCAGTGACATTTGATGATAGGGAAGCTGTGCCGTCCCTGGATAGAATCATTGGAAGTGTTATACAATATTTTGGTGTGTAGCATCCACGAGCTAAATCGTGTGAGGTTGGTGCTCTGTAAAGTGAATGCGTATAATCTGGCTGCTTTACACAATTCAAATATTTTCGCTGTGGAAGCTATCCTGTATTTGATAATACAGCACTTCCATTGGGAATATGCATATACGAATTTATATTCAAATATACAATAGCAATCTTAACATTGATTTTCATATGTAGTATAGAAATTTGTAATAAAATAAATAATGCAGTTATAATAAAATATTAATTTTTAGTAATTCAAAGTATGTTAAAATATGAAAATAATCACACAATATGTACTGTATTTATATTTTAGAAATTAAAAGAGAAGTGGCACTTTCACAGCTTCTATGGATGGTACGCCACTGCTATTGAATGATAGATGTCTGTTCTTATTTATTAATAGTCAATAGGAATAGTCAACAGTTTTACACTACAGTTTATTGGGGTTGAGATTGCATTTTCTGTAAACAAACATTTCAGGATTCAATCTACATATTTCTCTTGACTAAGTGCAACATTTTCATCTTTATCTCTTGACACTTATATACCTAAGAAATTCTTTGGCTCCCCAAGATCTTTTAATTTAATTAAATATGCTTTATATATTTTCTATACTTCTGTCTTTGTTATATGTGAAAAGTGTTTTGTCAACATTATTTAACAATTATAATAATAGTTTCATCCCTTTCTATCATATGAAATATGCACTCATCAGCCTTTGATGCTTTTAGCTCTAATGACATTAGTTTTTTGCTCAAGGTTTACTGTTATGTATGGCCAGCCTGTTTTAAACTATTCAATGCTTTAAGCAGTTTACACATTAACTGTTCTTTGTCCTTTTTAACAAATCCTGTAGTTTTAACATACACTCAGACTCATTGAACATTATATAACATATACACCTTATTGATGAGAATCATTTTACTACTTAAAACTAATGTTTTCAACCTGATCAACAGGCCATCATCAGGTTATCAATTTACTGGAACGTTTACAATCATTCTATAATCAAACCAATATGCAATAACAAATTTGAATTTAAAACAGTTTGAATGTTTGGTTAAAATCAAAATATAAAATATAAATAATATAATCCATTAAATACACAAACTGAACAAATCAAAATAAGTAGAGTGGAACAAAATAAAATACAAATATAATAACATAAGAAATAAAATTACATCGACTGCATGCTATGCATCAGATTTTACAAGCCATTCTTGATTATATATTTCCATGTCAATGGTAAGCCTGTGGCATCCTTGAGTTTAAACATTTGCCAGTCAGGTTGGATTTATAAATTTCTAACTTTTCCAAACTTAATGCCAGAGTCAGTGAACACAAAATAGTAAGTAGTAAAATGATTCTCAGCAATAAGGTGTATATGTTATATAATCCTTTAGTTTCTGGACATATATCTGTTTTAAAAAGCTGTCTCACCTTTAAATTTTTCATTGTAATGATAGCAAAAAGTTGATATGTTTGTGCTCCTAACTGTAGATGCATAAGTTCACTAATCTACACCATCTATTTGTGCATGTCCACTAAATGTACTTTTGGTATATTTTTACCTCTTATCAGTTAGACCCATTTTGTCTCTATTGTCTTCTTTCTATATGGTAACTTTCACATTTCACAAACCACCTATTTTTCTATTGCTGCTAGCTCTGGGGTTACAGCTTTCTGCTATTCCTTTGCATATTTTCCTTTCACTGTCTGTTGATACAATGCTGGAACTTGACCTGATATGTACACATTTCCATAACATTTTGGTGATCCTGCATTCTTCCACTCAATTGTCTCAAGCTGACAATTGTTGTCATAGTCATGTTGTGTGTCATGAGATACATTTATTTCAGTGATGTATTTCTCATTTCATTCTATTTCTCCCTGCAACCCCAAGAATTTTGTATTTTTTTTTTTTAATTGATTTTGTGTTCTGAAGGCTCATCATCACTGTTTAATTTTATACTGGGGAATAGCTGAATGATGTCTTGATACAGTATATACATTTGATGAAAACATTTTAATAGTAAATCTGACTTATTTGATAGTATTGGCAGTAAGATAGATGTGATATTTTTTCTGTCTTTTTTTATTTATATCAAATTAATCAGTTTTAAAAAATGAAACACTAAAATTCTAACTACACAAAATGTTAAGATAAATTTTAGTTTTTTTTTTTAATTAATTATAGAACAAGTGGCCAAATGGTTAAGGTTATGGCCTATTACTATCTGGACCTGGATCTGATCCAGACAGATCAAAAAACCCCAAGAATTTTTCAGGGTATGGTTTGTCTGGATGTATCTGGTTCCATTCCTTACCACGCAAGACCCATTGTGGACTTGGCAAACTCATAAAAGGCCTGTGCTTGCTAAAAACAGATCTTTTGGTGCCCTGTGGGCAAAGTTTAAAAATAAAAAAAAAAAAAAGTAAAATTTTAAGTTTGAACTATAATATTGTCTACTTTTGTACAAATGTTGTTGTTAGTTATTAAAACAGATGAAAGGATCAAATCTTTTTCCCATTAAAATGCTGTAGTTCCCCTCATAAAAAATGTATAGCCTCTTAATTTTTCCCAATTAATATCTATATTTCTTATCTCATACTTGTTGGCTAATAAATCTAAACTACGCTCTGCAATTGAGAGTTTATAATAATAATATTTCCAACTTAAATAATTGTTTATACAAAAGATAAGGAACATTCACAATGATTTTAACTGCAGTTTCTTTCTCTTTTGCTCATATATATGTTTATTACATTCTTTATATTTTTTTAGAGTTATGAAGTATGTATAGTCCTTATGAATATGCTATATATTTTATATAATTCTAAATTAACTTATATCAATTTTATGTAAAATCTTTCATATTAATAAATATACTATTTGCATTTTCAGATGTCGAAAACCTGACTCTGTACAGAGGAATATGTTTTATAAAAGTAAATATTTTGTATGTTTAGATATGAAATAATGTAATTTATTCTGAATAAAATTCACTTTAAAAAATCAACTTTTCTTTTATAAAATTTTTAAACTAAATTTTGTAACATGAAACAATGGAATCGTACTTTATCAAATACCTTTTTAAATTAAAGAAATATTTAAAATTGCCAGCTTCATTGCAGATTTTTGGTAATTATTTTCTTCAATTGCTGGACTTTGGTAGTTTTAAAAATCAGTAACTATGTTATGAAAAAATTGAATTTTTTTAAATCCTTCCCTTTTAAAAATCCTGCAAAAGTGCCTCCCCTATAAAATTTTCATATTTATATGAAAATATCCTTAATTTTTATCATTATATGAAATTCACATTCTATTCTTATTTATGAGCGAATAAGTAGTTATTTTCTTCAATTGCTGGACTTTGGTAGTTTTAAAAATCAGTAACTATGTTATGAAAAAATTGAATTTTTTTAAATCCTTCCCTTTTAAAAATCCTGCAAAAGTGCCTCCCCTATAAAATTTTCATATTTATATGAAAATATCCTTAATTTTTATCATTAGATGAAATTCACATTCTATTCTTATTTATGAGCGAATAAGTAGAAATAAAATATGAAGAAAAATAGAGAAGGAAGAGTTCCAGGATAACAAGGGAAGACTGAGGATAAGATGGACAGACAGTCATTTTAAAAATTTTACTAGTGTCTTATTACATATTGAAATTTTATAGTTTTTACTGCTTCGTTCACGAACATTCTTTTATTTTATGATTATTTTAAGTTTACCAGTTGGTGCAGCATGGTCTATAAGGACCTCGTGCCATTAACTTTCCCGGCAACATTCAAACTGCATCTGTGGCATCATCTGTTATGATATTTTACTAAAAAGCTTTTATACTTTTAATTATTATAAGATGCCAAAAAGTTTAATTTTGAGGGTAGGGATGGGTTTTATAAAAAGGAAAAACTGTAAATGCTAATAACGAGTGAAAGCATCATTAAGACCGACCCTACTGGAGATATGACGTACGACCCCCCCTTTATTTCCCCACCCCGTTGACCACCAAAATTTAATGGCATCAATTCTCTAATACACAAACCTCCCTGCAAAATTTTAGAAATTTTCGACAAAAAGCATAAGAGTTATTAAGGTTCAAAGAGGGTGAACAAAATCGTGCCCCCCACATACACTAACATCCANTATTCTTATTTATGAGCGAATAAGTAGAAATAAAATATGAAGAAAAATAGAGAAGGAAAAGTTCCAGGATAACAAGGGAAGACTGAGGATAAGAAGGACAAACGGTCATTTTAAAAATTTTTATTGCTTTGTTCACGAACATTCTTTTATTTTATGATTATTTTAAGTTTACCGTATGGTTGGTGCAGCATGGTCTATAAGGACCTCGTGCCATTAACTTTCCTGGCAACATTCAAACTGCGTGTGTGGATCGTCTGTTATGATATTTTACTAAAAAGCTTTTATACTTTTAATTATTATAAGATGCCAAAAAGTTTAATTTTGAGGATAGGGATGGGTTTTATAAAAAGGAAAAACTGTAAATGCTAATAACGAGAGAAAGCACCATTAAGACCGACCCTACTGGAGATATGACGTACGACCCCCCTTTATTTCCCCACCCCGTTGACCACCAAAATTTAATGGCATCAATTATCATACACAAACCTCCCTGCAAAATTTTAGAAATTTTCGACAAAAAGCATGAGTTATTAAGATTCAAAGAGGGTGAACAAAATCGTGCCCCTCACATACACTAACATCCAGGGGAGGGGAAACCCGAACTTTTTGCATTTCTCAACGTTTCGAGGTCCCCTGAGTCCAAAAATGTAAAAATCTTGGAGCCATGTTTTAACCGATTGCCATACTTTCTCTGTGTCAGATATAACAGAGCCAGGAAAGTAAAATAATCTTGACAATCCAAACAAGCACAAATTTTCACTTTACGACACAAGCGGCATGTGATGAATCGGCCTGCTCCGGATCTCGCCGCGAAAACAGCCATGAGTCATGTGACTTTTGCAAGAAGTTCCATAGGTTATGGAGAAAACCTGTAAGTTGGCATCACTGCACAGTAATTGTCTTTGGAAATTGATTCTTTCAACCCATATTGTTAGTGGAGTTTCAGCGATGAGGAGAAGCTTGCATTTCGCGGCGAGATCCGTAGCAGGCCGATTCATCACATGCCGCTTGTGCCCTAAAGTGAAAATTAAATTCCTACAAAATAAAATTTCATCAAAAACGTATAACTGGACTTAATGTTCTTCTGACATTTGTAATTTGGTGAATGAATTAAATACCGTATTCAATTGTTTAACTTCTCATAATGCAAATGAAAAAGTAACTATAAACTATTAATTTCAGTAAAGACATGATGCCATTTTTAAATATCATAAAAATGTCGTATTGAAATTTACGAAACAACGCGGAGAATGTAAAGTGTGGCCGTCAGCCATGATATGATATATTCCCTATATTTTATATTGTACTAGTAGCCCGGGACGCCCCCTAGTGGGCGTTTTAGCAGTATTACAAATTCCTATAAGGCATGTTTAATGCACTTAATATATGAAAGTTGTGCGCTTAATTTTTAAGTTTGATGTACAGTACTTAATATCAAACTTAATTTAAGTTTGATATTAAAATTAAGTTTGATGTACTTAATATATATAAATGTATACAACTGTTTCTTTGGTCGTGCCATGAAAGGTTTCTATTATTGTATTAAAAAATTAGCTTAACTATTTCAAACCCTATCGTTTTATCGTAGCGGTTCAAATCTATCCGGTTTTTCGTTATTCGTACCCTAGTGAACATTACAGGCATTCCGTGACAATAATAAATTCCTATTACAAATATAATGAATTATTTATATTGTTATATTGACCAAATAATAATTTATTGGCCAAATGAATAATAATAATTTATATTGTTCATTTAAATAATAATTAAAATTGTTAATTTAATTTGAATATTTGAAATATGACACACGATAGGGGCGCCTCTAGTGTCCGTTATCAAACGGTTACGGGACAGACGGACAGTTGAATGGGTTATATATATAGATAAACTTTTAATGTGCAGTTTTTAACACTTAACGATTAACTTCAAAGTTGTGCATAAATTACGTAACGCAGATATGAGTGAGTGGGTATGCTGTGATCGTCGATTAGGGATTGCATTGCCGATAAACGGTTTACTGCTTCACCGGCAATCAGATAAAAAACCCTGTATTGGTAAATATACTAGTAATTTGATATTTTTACTTTAAATTCGGTAAAAAAATAAGTACACATGTAATAATATTTTGCAGCCAAATATTTATTTGTATAATCAAACTTAGATTATCTGAAAAGTTTTCTGTTTTCGAAAACAATCGGCGAAATCCGAAACTAACGAAAACCGAGGCAATTATTTTTATATAGATCAATGTAAATCTAATTAATTTGTTCTAGACACTAGACACTAAAATTATTTCTAAGCAACAATGAATAATTTTTTAATATAATAATGAAAGAAAAGAACAAAAATTTCGAGTAAGAAATTGAAAATTCTGCAAAAAAATCTTGAGATTAAAACAATTTAAGAACGAAAGTCTACATATTCTGCAGAATTTTGCACAAGTACTTAATTAAAACATTACAAATTATGATCAGTATTGTTAGAATACACAATTAAGAAAATTGTAAACTGTTATTACAATTTTCACCTGTGTCCGAGCCAGACTCGGGCGAATATCAAATAATAATTAATTCACTTTTTATGCACAGATTTTACTCAGGTAAAATTTATTTGTCCTTTAACGATCGTTGTCTATGACCACAACAAATTTCGTAATTCTATACGAATTATAAGTTTTTGATTGGAGCCGTTTTTCCGGTCCCCTTTTATATAAATAGTACAAATGACCAAAAATTTTTAGTTGTATTTGAGTATTTGTAATAACTAGTACAAACCTTGCTAGAACCCCGACTTTCCCTAAGACCTTTATGTAAATATCCCGCAAAAGTTGACCAACGGCTGTTCTCAAGATCAAACAATTTTAAACACCGTAGACTGCAGCTGTCTCGTTGCAGTTTGTGTAAGACGAAAGAAAAATATAAATAAAGTATCCCTGAAGCTATATGTAATAACTAGATGCATTTATTTTAAATCATTTTTTTATTTTTTTAATAGCTTTACTATAAAAACACGTTTTGGGGAGATTTTTTCGCGGCAAAATTATAATTTTTTCTAATATCAGATTTGGTTTAACTTTCACAAAAATATTTATTATCAAAAAATAAAAAAATATATGCTTTTCTGAGCGAAATTTGAAAAAAACAAGCGTTAAGGAGTTTTAAATGTATTAAATGTTATCCTATTTACAAGGAATAAAAGTAAATTTTAACTTAAAATTAAAAATTATCGAAAAACCCAGATAATGAGATATTTTTGTGAAAAAACCTATCAACCCAGATTACAATAAAAAAATCCAAATATGAGTAGAAAAACTCAGGCGTAAGAGCCCTTCCCACACCATATCGATGACGGCACGATATTTCAAGACACTGGAAAGGCACTTTCTTTGCTTGGTTCATTTCCCGTTGGATGAAATTAGTCAAACGAAATAAAAACCATCAATAAGTTAAGGGATTGCCTATCACTATAACCTATTCAACTATGCCCAAGAACAACTAATGTCAACTGCTTCCAAGAATATACTGTTTTTTCGCCACTAGATATTCGCCACTAGATGGCGCCACTAGACGGTGCCCCCAACTGTCCAAATGTTAATGCCAGTGCTCATCGCTTAGATGCTCAAGCCTAAGCAGCTCATTATAAACCAACCTGTGTAACTTCAGGGGAAAATTTGAAATGTTTATGGAAGAAGCGATATATTTTTTAAACAATTCATAGGAGAAAGATATTTCCGATGGGATATTGTAGAGAGCTTGAAGATTTGAAAAGTGCGTTTATAAATAAATGGTTTCTGGTTTCAAAACACCGGTGTTACTCATTGCAGTGGGAAAGGCAGGTTCGAAACGACTGCTAGACAAAGCAGAAATTTCTCCACTCCATACCATGTGTGGGGTGTGGGCTGACTTCAACCTCAGAGCGATGCAGGCTTTGGCAGCACGTCTTACGGCGATGCGGGCCTCGGCGGCACCTCTGACAACGTTGCGGCCCACATCTCACTACAGAGTTTGATCATTGCACTCGGATCCAAGTGCAATGGTCGAACTCTGGG